TGACACATTCGTCATACTAAAGCGGAGCCAAGTGCAAGCTTTCAAGGCATTGCTGAATTCGATCTTTCTCGACCTCCAGTTCACCATGAAAGAAGAAGGCAAAAGCACTTGCCCTTCCTTTACGTCCAACTTGTAACTTGTAAGGCAACTAACACAAGGCGCATTCTTTACTTCCAAAGCAACCACCCTGCTGGTCACAAACACAGTTGTGTCAGAAATACCATGCGAAACTAGAAGTGCGGGTCAACTTTCTCTCCCACCGGGTCACTGAAGACTGGAATAAACTCCTTTCGCCAGTTGTTCTTGCTGAAAGCGTTGGCACATTTAAAAGAAGGTTGGATCTTACTTGAGTTGCTGGTCATACATTTGGTAGACAACAACGATTTATATAATGTATATATGGCATTAAAACACGTGTATGATCTGACAGCATCTATCTGTAAATAGAGTTTTCAAAGGCTCTGCCTATCTCCCCCATATGCACTGAATTATCGAATAATGGTTCAAAAGATAGGTCCGGTAAAAAGCCACGTTTTAAAGAGTCCAGAATTTGATTGTTTATTCAAAAATCTGTTATTTTTTGGGAAGTATTTTTTCAAAGATTTTAGCTTGAGAGTGTGTTTTATGAACACCGCGATAATTATCAATATCCAAGTGGGACCCTGATTTAAAATCGGGAATTATATTAGAAGTTTTCCACTTAGCACGGAAAAAGCTATTCTCGAGAAATACTGGAAAAAAAAACTTGTCAAGGTGGAAAATCTCTTAATTGTTTAAAAAGTGAGTTGGGATTGTTATCGGTTTCAACCGAATGAACATCTTTAAGACGGCTTATTTCTTTTTGATTGCTAGTAATCAAAATCTGATATCCACTATGAACTGCGTTGTAAGCAATAAACCACTCGCCCACGCTGAATTAGATGACATACATTTACGTGATGGAATACGAACTAAGAGTAGTATGCCCGTCTGCTATTCTAGCCATTCGATTAAAATGCCTCCCGCCA